AAACCATGTTACTTGTATAAAATAGCCAGTAAAAAAAATCCGCGAATTAGAAGATGACATGTGGACTATAAAAAAATCTATAAAAATAAGAAGACAACACGTGCAATTGGAAATGATCGATGAGCTAATTGCCTTACATGTGTCTTGTGAAAAAAAAAAAATCTCTTAATATATAGTAAGATATCTATTTGTTTAATGAAAATTATTAACATACATATCATTTCCATAATTAATGGAAAATTTGAATTTCAAAATGGGATAGTTGAATTAAAGTCTGTTCTACCTGAAAGGATTAAAAGAGTAAATAAAACACACTATAACATTGATCCAGTCATTGAAAATAATATTCAGCTCTACCCTAATTTGGTGAAAACATTTCACAGCAAGCAAATCCTGCTGTGATTCCATCTTCTTTTATATTTTTAACATCATGTCACTCTGTAGCTTACTATTTAAAGGTTCAATGTTTTTTGTAGGTTAAAAATCTGCAATGATTTTAATTGCTATTTTAGTATTTATAACAGCCCGCTGAACAAAAAAAAAAAAAACCCATGGGTCTCATTCCATCTTCATTTTTCAACAACATGTCACTCTACATTCTCACTTAAAAGGAGTTTTCGGTAGGTTGAAAAATTGTAATTATTTTGTCTGCTAGTTTAGTATTTTTGGAAACCCGTTGAGCCAAAAAAAAAAAAAAAAGAAGAAGAAGAAGAATTAGTAAGAACTATTTTTTCAAAGAAGATACTTTTTGATAAATTAATAGTTTAGTATTTTTAACAACCCGTTGCAATAAAAAAATCGGCGGTTCTCATTCCATCTTCTTTTATAGTTTTAACATCATGTCACTCTGTATCATCCTATTTAAAGGTTTCATGTTTTTTGTAGGTGAAAAATCTGGAATGATTTTAGCTGCTATTTTAATATTTTTAACAGCCCGTTGTAGCAAAAAAAAAAAAAAGAACCGGTGAGTTTCATTCCATCTTCATTTTTTCTCTTTAACAACATGTCACCCTGCGTTCTCACTTAAAAGCTTCAGAGTTTTTGCTATGTTAAAAAATTATAATTGTTTTATTTGCTATTTTATAATTTTTAACACCCTCGTTAAACCAAAAAAAAAAAACGAAAAAGAAGAAAAAGACAAAAGAAAAGAAGAACCGGCTCTTAATCCATCTTCATTTTTACTTTAAATATTATGTCACTTTGCACATTCTAGTATAAAATATATTACGTCTTTAATTAGTTTAGAACCTGCAATGGTTTTTGTTGATGGACGTGTTGCAATAATAAATGATTGGCGGTTTTATCTAATAATAGACAACTTCGTCGATAGAGTTCGGTCGGAAACTTAGTTATGAAAGAACCGTCTTTTCGGCAAGTCTCATTCCATCTTCATTTTAATTTTTAACAGAATACCATTTTGCATCTCCTACTTAAAAGGTTCCATATGTTTTTGGTAGGTTAAAAACCTGCAATGGTTTTTGCTGTTAGTTTAGTTTAGTTTTTTTTTTTTTTTCCGACCGCTCTTTGAGGAAAAAAAAAAGAAGATTCGTCGGGTTCCATTTCATTGTTATTTTCATTTTTAACAATATGTCACTCCGTATCGTCATGTATAAAAGGTTCTATGTCTCTAGTAAGTTAAAACATGCAATGGTTTTAGCTACTACCTAGTTTTTATGATAGCCTGTTAAACTAAAAAAAGAAAAAAAAAAGTGAGTGGATCTTATTCCATCTACATTTTCATCTTTAACCACATGTACATCATCCCGCTTAAAAAGTTTTGAGACTTTGATATTTTAAAAAATTGTAATAGTTTTGTATGCTATTTTAGTATTTTTGACACTTGTTGAACAAAAAAAGAAAAAAAAAAGAAGAACTAACTCTCAACCCATTTTCATTCATCTTTAGTCATGTCATTCTTTATCTTTATCCTATTTAAAATAACCATGTTACTTGTATAAAATACCCAGTAAAAAAAATCCGTGAATTAGAAGATGACATGTGGACTATAAAAAAATCTCTACGAATAAGAAGATGACACGTGTAATTGGAAATTATCGATGAGCTAATTGCTTGACATGTGTCTTGTGAAAAAAATTCCCTTAATGTATAATAAGATTGAGTAATACTCCATATAAACAACTCAATAGAAAGTGATCTCATAATTGAGAATTCGCTTCATAATTCTGATTTTTTTATGGTATTACGAGTCCTTTCACAAACATGACACACTCATCGACTCCACATCTGAAACCCACATCCCTCACTCTAATTCGACCGTCCTTCCATCGACGGCCACTCTTCTCTCTTCTACTTCTTCCTCTTCTTCCACTACTCCTCATCACTCTCATCTTTTCAAATATCAAAAATTATGCTTCTTCAGTACTCAATTTCACAAAGTATATGCTGTGCAAAGAATTGTTTTTGCCGGTTCTCCGTGGTCATGGTATGTTTAGACCATGTTGATGGCTCCTCCGTATGCCCCCCCTACCACCATTCTTGACTCTTCCAATACTTCCATACTTAATTTGGCCTATCACTCTTGGAAGAAAAAATTATATAGACAATAAGAAAATATGAAAAAAAAACCCCGATAATAGTGAAAAATCAAATAATTATTACAAACTTTTCAGGAAATGAAACTTTAAAGAGATGTCATCAAATTTAGAAAAGAAAAGATGAAGACTATGCACCAAGAAGAGAAAATGAAGTAAACAATATATATTATAAGAAAAATGTACGAACAAACTTATAAAGAAATGTTGACAAATTTTTATGGAGATATGAAAAATAAAGATAAATTTATGAAAAGAAAATGTGAGAAAATTAAGAGAATATTTTTAAAAGATATAAAGTCATAAATCAACAAAGCCAGAAAGATGGACAACAAATTATATTGGATGATTTCAAATATTGAAATTTATTCCAAATGTACTTAAAATAACAAAATACATTAACATTAAAAATTACACAATTAGAATTTATATCATTAATATTATTTTTTTATATATCACTCTACCGTAAATATCATATATAATCGGTTAATCATTAATCTCTAAATATTCCTGTGCCTATTGTTTTCCTAATAATATCATACCCCCTTATTCCCATTTCATCCTACAGGGCAACAAGATTGTATACTGTGTGCAAATATCTAACTTCACGTGTCTACTGAAGAATTCAGAAAAAGTTCTCCCAATGCAGACATAAATATGCAGTCAACTTCAATCAAACAAAAAATAAATAAATAAAAAGATTTTCTATTAGTGGGAGAGTTTAAAATATATGATGCAAGTAGAAATATTTAGAAAGATCATTGTAAAAAAAATTAAGAGAATATTTTTAAAAGGTATAAAGCCATAAATAAACAAAAATGAAAATAAAGACAATAAGTTACATAGATGATTTCGAATGTTGAAAATTATTCCAAATCTACATAAAAGTTAAATAACAAAACACATTGACAATAAAATTATACAATTGCAATTCGTATTATTAATATTATTGTTTTTACATATATCACTTCGTCGGCAATGTGATATAATCGTTAAATCATTAGACTTATATATATCTTGTGCAGGATAAACACTAATATATGTATTAAAGGAGAGTTTGTAACCGACACGAGTCATCCGGTGATTGACTTTAGGATAATTGTGACAAATATCATCTCACAACTCTCCTTCAATAAATAATAACAAAATATTATATTTTGGTTGAACTAAATTTGTTACCTTATTTCAGTATTAGAAATAACTATCATATTCTATCATTGCATAATTTAATTGCACTGATCGTGATTCGTATCGTGTATCAAAAATCTAAATCATGATACACATATCATATCATGTATCGTATCGTAAGATACGTTTTAATATAATAATATGTATAAGATGAATAATAAATATCATAAATTCCATATGCGATGGGTATTTTTAGACAAATTATTTATTTTTCAGTTATAAATAGATAAAATTTTCACCATTCTTCTGTTTTGAATGCCGTAACAAGGTAGCCATAGGGGAAGAAGCCCGTGGCTGGATTGAATCCGAGTAAGGCCCGGTCTCAGCCCTTTCTTCTGATCCGATCACGTGCCTCAGCTTAGCTTCAATCTATTTGTTCGTTTTGATAGGTCAACCATTCTCTTGTTCTATCTTGAGCCAAAACCGCCCTAAGGCCTCGCTTTAGGCTGTTGTTAAGAGATGGGGGATTGCCCTAAGGTCTAGCGATCAAAGAAGAAAAGAAGTCATTTGAGACAGCAAAGGTTAGAATACACTCGTTTGTAAAGGAGAGGAACTTAAACGCCTCACTTCACTCTATTCTCTTGCGGACTTGTCTGGTCAATCGACCGCCCTCTTCCTTTGCGAAGTTGAACTAAGGAGTAGCATCGGTCTTATCTTTGAATAAGCTATTTAGAAAGATAGGAAACTTCTTTCTATAAGCTATTATTTGGTAGAAATGGAATTGGAAATGGGACTGGTAACCTGATTCTTTGAATTGAGTACCTACGATTGTAGAATGCCTATTTTATTAAAATAGAAACTCAAAGTAAAAACTAGACTTTGTTTTGCACACTGACTTCAATCGTATAGAGATTTTCCACTGTCTGTGTCGATACCTGAAAGTACTCTTCCTTTACGGGGGAAGGGATTGCCTATTTTCTATCCCATCATAACATACCTTTTTACATTTCCAATACACTTTTTTGCATTTTTAATACGAAAAACACCTAAAAACACATACTAAAAAAACGAAACAAACATACCAAAGCGTTTACAAATTAAAAGGAAAAAAAAAAAAGGAGAAGAAGAGAAAGAAAAAGCACATATCATCCTTGTTATCCATCACTATAAAAACCGTAACATTACCAAATATCTTCCCATCCCAAAGCCAAGAAGAATTAGAACTAAAATGGGTTACAAGGGTACCAAGTTCCTAGCATTTATTCTTCTTCTAGTGCTTGTCTTCTTCACCATTGCCACTAGTGCATGTGATAAAGAATATCAAAAGTCAAAATCAAAGCATAAACCTAAACCCAAACACCCACCACCATCGCCGCCGCCTCCAAAACCCAAACACCCACCGCCACCACCTCCAAAGCCCAAATCCCCACCGCCTCCAAAACCCAAACACCCACCGCCACCGCCTCCGAAGCCCAAATCCCCACCGCCTCCAAAACCCAAACACCCACCACCACCGCCTCCGAAGCCCACATGTCCACACCCACCTGCTCCGCCCTCGTCACCGCCGCCACCACCTCCCTCTCCGCCTCCGCCGCCCTCGCCACAGCCACCTCTCTCTCCTCCTCCTTCGCCCTCGCCACCACCTCCGCCACCTCCTTCTCCTCCTCCTCCGCCCTCGCCACCACCACCACCACCTCCCTGTCCACCTCCTCCGCCCTCGCCACCCCCGCCGCCACCTCCCTCTCCACCTCCTCCGCCCTCGCCACCGCCGCCGCCACCTCCCCCGTCCGTTAATAAAACATGCCCAAAGAGTGGCCTAGAGTTTGTGCCGTGTGCTCCTTTGGTAGGAGTAGGAAACGCTGATAATACTACAGCCCTTTCAGAATGCTGCCCACTTTTCGATGGCCTTAATGAATTCCAAGTTAAGCAGTGCCTTTGCGATGCCAACGCGCTCCACCTCTTTGGGAATGTCGGCGCTGGTACCCCCACCGATCGTGTTAACATTGTAGGGATCCTCTTTGGGTGTCAAATGGTTGAGCATGAGGTTGATCCTTTTTACCTCGTCGAGTGTTAGCATGAATACACACGAGTTCCTCTTCTCTTGAGTTCTGTCTGAAAATTAATGTGTCTGTCCTAAAAAGAAGTTGGGTTCTTCTTCTCGTGTTATTGCATGGTGAAAATCGTCCCAGTACTTTTTAAAAGTGGAGGAAACAACGGGAGTTTGGAATATTGTGAAGGAATTCTCTCCATTGATTGTCATCTGTGACATGGTTGAGCTTTTCAGGCGTTCCGTCTGGAATTTGTATTCACATGTTGAAATTGTTGCAATAATAAGAAGTAATATCAATCTGTACTACGGTCAATTAACAGATTTTTTACATTCGCAAGTGCAACAACATATAATCTCTTTGTCCCAAAAAGTTAATCCACACCAAGTTTTGAATTTTTTTAATATATTTAATACAAAAAATTTGAAAACTTCAATACGGATTATTTAAAAAGTCAATGTGGATTTTTATTTTTTTATTTATTTAGTATTTTTTTTTTTTGCATCAATTATTTTGTAGTATTAATTTGATGATTTAATCACTTGAATTTTCATGTCCAACTTGTAACGAAAGATATAAAAACGAAGATTGAAACGACAAATTAATAATTGGTAATGGGAGATGATATTTCGTTAGCCTTTCGAAAAATATCCAATTATGAAACCTTATTAATAATTATGGACAAGTTTGTGCAGTTTGACATTCTAACGCAGAATTTTGTTCGTTGAATTAATTAATGACACAAATTTCTGGTGATTTGTCTTGTTATCAAATGGTTGTTTCTAATCAAACTGAGAGAACATTTTTTCAGCTTCCATATTGATGAATGGTTATGGAGAAATTTGAGTGGAAAGATTGTGGGTTGTGTGGAGGATTGGGATCGCTACTTTGGAGTGACTCTATGGCGAATATGTCAATGGAGAAATCAATTGATTTTTGAAGGTACTGAAGGAAGTGAGACGCATAGGGTGAATGAGATCTCTAAATTTGTCGGGAGTGACGCAAGCTTTCGTGCATGAGAAGGCAATGCGTGGCCTTTGCAAGGGTTGGGAGGAAAGAATAATTCGATGGATCCCCCGCCGGCAGAATGGATGAAGGTGAATTCTGACGGTAGTTTTAATAATTCCACAGGGATGGGTTGTGTGGGTGGAGTCGCCCGTGACTGTTACATAAAATGGTTGGGTGGTTTCTGTTAAAAATAAAGCACAAGAGACTGTAGGCCTGTTCATTGGATCGGGTAAACCGAAACCCAACCCGACCAAACAAAGATTGGCACGTTCGGTTAATTTTAATTTGGTTATTCGGTTGGAATTTGAGAAAATCAAATACCTATTCAGTTTTAACTACTTCTGATATTCATTGTAATCCAAATAATTCAAAGTTCCAAACTTCCCAAGTTCCAAATGCAATTTTCTCCAAATCCAATCCCCCATCTATTTGCTAACTGAAATTTTGAAAAAGAGAGTAACACAAGGTCCAAACTAATTCTATTCATAGCTCTCCAAATCTAGGTGGGATTTATGGGATAATAATAGAGAGACCATGAATTTTATTTTGTTTTTTCTTCCTTCTTTTGAAGATTTGATTAGTTAGTTGAAAGCTAGATCATTCCCAGATTAGTCAATATTATTGCTTTCAAGAGCTCCAGTGGGAAGAGGCTGGACCAATTCCTTCGAGTGCCAAAACACCATTAAAGCCGTTTCCAAAGACCGTCGGCGGCGAATGCTCTGCGAAATTCAAGAAAACAGAGAAGGCCGGAGGATCTGTGAACAAGAGATCTGGAATTCTCGGGTATAAGTAAGAAGTGAATTACAAGTCCTCGATGAAAGTGAACGACAAATCTCATGGCTGTATAATTGAGTACGAGACCCAAGTCAAGCTTAAGAGGATCTCCACCTACAATGCTCCGAAGAAATCCGCCGCCGCCGCTGCCGCTGCCACCACCGTCGCTCCTCCAAAGGCGAAGTCCCCGGGTTCTTGGCTTTTTTATTCAAGTTTGTTTCAGGAATAGGAAGATTTGCCCAGTATTACATGAAATTATCGTAATAGCTTGGTGAACATTTTATCGGGTAACCCGAAAACCCGACCAAAAATCCAAATAACCGAATTAGTTGTTCGGACATGCATGAGAAGACAATGTGTTTTGGTACGGATGAGACCGATTTGTATCCGAATACCAGAATACCCGATTCTACAAACTCGTCTATCCGATATTTTTACCCGATGAACAGTCTTACATGAGAGATAGTCATTGACAAGAAATTTTAGAGTAGATCAGTCTTATCTTTAGTATTTAAATAAAATTAGTTCGTTTATTCATGTTTATCAGATATATAAATTAGGCCTATAAAAGGGATGATGATGTACTTGATTCATTAAATTAATAGAAATGCAGTCTTTCACTCCATTAGTTTGTTCTCTGCTTTTATATTTCTAAATAAATATAAATTTTCTTCTTGGTATCAGAGCAGGTTCTATCCTGCGTCTGAAGGTTTTTTTTTTTTTCTGTTTCCGCATATCTGTCTATCAATTATGACTTCTTCATCTCTGTTCATAGATATTCAAAATTTTATCATTCTAAAATTCTTTCTCACCAATTATTCATTGCGGAGAGATTGTTGCACAGAGTCGAGGACATATCGATCAACTCATAACTCAACCATCAACCTCAAATTTCATTCATCACCACCAAAAAAAAAAAAAAATTCTCATCTGGATCCATTCAAAAAATTTCAATCATGACAAAAGTCCGAGAAAATCCCTTGGACTTGTCATTGTTTTTTATTACATACATATTTCTTCGGAAAGTATTCAAAAATGAAGTACACATATTTTTCAGAAAATTATTAAGAAAACTCACACATCTCCACAAAAATGGCAACATGGTCATTGGAGATCACATTCACACTTTCAAAACAAGATTGTGTGACATTAGTAATCTACCACAATACAAATTTTTTTTATTTTTTTTATTGCAGCTTCACAAGTCTGGATCCAGATCCAAAATATGAGGCATTCACAACAAGCTCAGAATCAAGTTTTAAGAGATACATCCAGTAGACTCTATTCTACAACAAACTCGCCTTCAGCCCTCAGTCCTTCACTCACGGCTCAGTTTGCAGGAGAATGTTAAAGATAAAGCACAAGAGAGATAGTCATTGACAACAAGTCTTAGAGTAGATCAGTCTCATTTATTTTTTATTGCATTTATTTTTTATTTGAAGAGCAATAAAAAATAAATAAGAGATAAATTAAATGGCTACATTGTTACTGACTTGAATTTAAAAGACTGAGATAGAAGCCTATTTATAGGCTGTCTATACATGATAACTAAATTATTTTCACTACTAGATAATAATGAAATAAACTAAACCTATCAACTTATCCTTCCACTCTATCTATTAAAACTAAACAAGGACTCTTCTTTTTGATGATCTCTTCTTCATGAGGATTATCTATGATATTCTCTCTCGTAAACACTTAGCACCACTGGCATCTCACGAACCAATTGAACTACAGAGAGATAAAGCATTGGCATTAAGTGTTAGGTCATGGTTATATCATGATGTAATTGGAGTGGCATATCCCCGAAATATAAGAATTTAAGCATTTTGCCTCCTTTATTATAACAAAAAACTTAAAAATAAAAAATAAAGAGCAAAGATCGATTGGAAAATGGCAGGTTCGAATGTGTCGTTGGAGAACCAATATGATAGGTGCACCAAAGTGAATCATTAAATTTTTTTTTCATATATATGAATGAAGCAGAATGCTCAACTTACAATACCCTTCTAATGTGGGCGTAAACCAACTTTATCAAAATTTATATAATCTAAATTGGAAGCCAGGGGATGAGACAAGATGTGTTTCCCGGCGGACAGTTAATCGGCTGACTATTAAGTTTTATCTAGCCATCTGGTGGCGGTTTCCACTTCGAAAAAGGTGTGGCATTTGTTGAGGTCCAATCTATGAGCAAAAATTAGATTGGATCTGGTTATTTCTTTAACTAGGAAATGTGTTGAGCCCTTGAGTATTCTTTCACTGATTGCCAAGTCACCGAGGACTTCATCGTTTCTAGATCTCCATAATTTCCAGCAAACAGGTCTAAATAGGACCAACAGTTATTATTATGCAAAACAGAAGAGTTAAGATTAGAAAAAATCCATTCATACCAATTTGATTCCAACCAAAATGCACTCCCTGTATGCGGGTTGCAACTTCTCCACAATTCAAAACTCCTATAGCAGTCTCTAAAAAGATGAAACATGATTTTTGGACTTCCACAAAAATGACACCGATCGTCATCTCTTAATTGTCTTCTTTTTCTCTCTACTTGTGTGAGGAGGACCCCTCTGAATAACAACCACTAGAAAGTTTTTATTTTTTATTTTTTGGACCTATCCATTTCCAAATAAGAGCCCATACTTTGCGTTCCGAGTTCCAGAATGCCATGGTCAGAGAATTATAGGCAGAAGATGTTGTAAATATGCCATTGTTTTTCCACTCCCAAGTAGGGAGGTCTGAACCCATATCAGACGTCGGAGGAGGAACAACCCTTATTTTACTTAAGATTGAGGAGGGAAGAGAGGTGCAATTTCATTCCAATTCTCATCTCCTATGGCAGTGGTAAATTCTTAGATTTTTCTTTCTAGTGAAGAGGTGGTTTGAGGAATGGTAGTCAGAAGGTGACGGGGTTTCTCTAAACCCAGCTAATTATCTTTCCAGAATTTGATTGTTTTTCTGTTGCCTACATTCCATTTGACACCATCTAGGGCTGTAGAGCAAACAAGAGAAATGTGTTTGTATAGGTGAGAACGATTCCTCACATTGATTGATTGGGGGACTCCGTTGCCGTTGGTATCATATTTAGTTCTAAGAATGCATTTCCAGAGAAAACGCCCTAGTGAATGCCCCACGCAAATATGAGGATAAAGGCTTTATTTGCTTCCCTCAACT